ACCTCAGGAGGTCATCTAGTCCAACCCCCTGCTCAAAGCAGGACCAATCCCCAAGTAAATCATCCCAGCCAGGGCTTTGCAAGCCTGACCTTAAAAACCTTAAAGGGAGGAGATTCTACCACCTCCCTAGGCATTCCAGTGAACGCATTCACCACCCTCCTAGTGAAAAAGTTTTTCCTAATATCCAACCTAAACCTCCCCCACTGCAACTTGAGACCATTACTCCTTGTCCTGTCCTCTTCCACCACTGAGAATAGTCTAGATCCATCCTCTTTGGAACCCCCTTCAGGTAGTTGAAAGCAGCTATCAAATACCCCCTCATTCTTCTCTTCCGCAGACTAAACAATCCCAGTTCCCTCGGCCTCTCCTCAGAAGTCATGTGTTCCAGTCCCCTCATCATTTTTGTTGCCCTCCGCTGGACGCATTCCAATTTTTCTCACATCCTTCTTCTAGTGTAGGGCCCAAAACTGGACACCGTACTCCAGATGAGGCCTCACCAATGTTGAATAGAGGGAAATGATCACGTCTTATGATCTGCTGGCAATGCCCCTTCTTATAGAGTCCAAAATGCCATTGGCCTTCTTGGCAACAAGGGCACACTCTTGACTCATATCCAGCTTCTCGTCCACTGTCATCCCTGGTTCCTTTTCTGCAGAACTGCTGCCGAGCCATTCGGCCCCTAGTCTGTAGCATTGCATGGGATTCTTCCATCCTAAGTGCGGGACTCTGCACTTGTCCTTGTTGAACCTGATCAGATTTCTTTTGCCCCAATCCTCTAATTTGTCTAGGTCCCTCTGTATCCTATCCCTACCCTCCAGCGTATCTACCTCTCCTCCCAGTTTGGTGTCAAACATTGCATTTGCCTTTTTTTTGGCAACAGTAAGTACATCCACACCCTTGAGAGATGTAGCTGTGTCATCCTCACCCTGGAGTAGACAGCATCGATCCTGCTACCACCTCTAGGGGAGGTTTATTACCTACACTCGTGGGTGAACCACTGTCATCGGTGTAAGTACTGTCTGCACTGAAGTGTTATGGCCAGGCTGCTGTAGCTGCTTAAGTGGTTCTGGAGATATGGGTAGTTGGAAAATTTACCTCTTCCCTTTGCAGTTTGTTCCAATTGTTAATCATTCTTAGTGCTAAACATTTGGCCCCTGTTAGGGGGCTTATTCTTTCACCCACGTACTTCCCTGGTCCTTCTCGCATGAACAGAGAGCAACAATACTCGGAGTCCAAAGGTGCAAACAATTCGATGTTTATTGGGGTGAACTTCCAGCAAGCATGATTCCAGTTTCCTTCCTTAGTATCCCCCTTCCCAGCTCTGACACCACAGAGCCTTACACCTGTGTCCCTGTTCCCATTCCTGCCCTTAGCCAAACATGATTGCAATTTCCTTACCCCCATTCCCTGTTCCCATCTCCCACACCCACCCCCACTCCCCCCCACACCCACTCACTTCCTCATTGGATTCTGCCCCAGAAACAGAGAAAGACTCCTGGAGTGCTTTGGGTTGCTCTTTACATTCTGATTCCCTTTGGCGATCGCCCACCAGTACCTTTGTAGCCCCCCTCTCACTCTACCCGTCCCTAGCCGCCCTGCTACATGGTGTTTCGCATGTCGGCAAGGAGGGGATGGTCTCTGCTATGAGTAAGGCGGGGTGGTGGGCTCCCCATTTCAGCTCCTTTGCAACCCGCCACTGCGCCGCTTGTGTTACTTGTCAAAGCCACAATGTAGGCAAATCTGTAAAAGTAACACAAGGGTTCCGGGATTTGCCTCAAGCACCTTTCCTACACTGGCAACTTGATTTTGTACAAATGCCAAAGTGTCAGAAATATGAATTCATTTTAGTTATAATATGTCTGTTTTCAGGTTGGATTGAAGACTTTCCCTGTCGCAAAGCTGATTCATCGTTGCAAAATGTCTGTTCAACCACATTATCCCTACCAAGGGAATTCCTGCCACTTTGTCTAGTGACCGGGGAACACATTTTACTGGAAAAATTGTTCAACATCTAAACCAGGTGTTAGGGGGCTAATTCCTTCACCCACTTACTTCCCTGGTCCTTCTCGCATGAACAGAGAGCAACAATATCCGAAGTCCAAAGGTGCAAACAATTTGATGTTTATTGGGGTGAACTTCCAGCAAGCATGATTCCAGTTTCCTTCCTTAGTGTCCCCCTTCCCAGCTCTGACACCACAGAGCCTTAGACCTGTGTCCCTGTTCCCATTCCTGCCCTTAGCCAAACATGATTCCAATTTCCTTACCCCCAATCCCTGTTCCCATTTCCCACACTCACCCCCACTCCCCCCCACACCCACTCACTTCCTCATTGACTACAGATTATATAGTAAAACTTGAGTTCTGCTTAGCTATACCTTAACCAATCATTTTCCTGAAATTTAACTAACCAATCCTAACATATTGTAACATGATTATGTAACCAATTATATCCCACCACCTTATTTAGTTTACACCCAGCAAAATTAATTATACAGCAGACAGGAACAATCACAGAACCAGACAGAGATTATACAGACAAACAATAGCAAAGTGGGAACTATAATGACAAGACAATACAGAAGTGAGGATTTCACATCCCAGCTATTGATAAGTGAGTTCTTGCCAGACAGGATGCTATCAAACTAAGTTTCCTTTTACATTTTCTAGGCTCTTCCCTTTCTCTGGAGGTGACAGGAACTATCACGACAGGATTGTATCCTAACAGCCCAATAGCACCTTATTTCAGTGTGACTAGTTTGGAAATTTTCTTTGGTGTTTTGCTCTGCTGCCACCTGACTGTGTACTTCTGGTTCCGAATGAGACGTGTGGCTGATCTATCCCTTAGCAACTGCCTGATTGCGTACATCTGGTTCTGAATCGGATGTGTGGTTGATCTATCAGTTGCTAACTCTGGCGTTCGTAACTCTAAGGTTCGACTGTCAATGATGTTTAACCCCCTTGTTGCTGGCACCCAGTGCCAGAGGAGAACAACAGCAGGGGGGGTTCATTACCCGGTGTGCTTCACTTAATAATTACAATGGGGTGGAGAAGCAGAAAAGTTTATTTGCAGCTGCAAACAAGGTACAGGGAGAATAGAATCTTAAATCCTGCACACCAGATCACGTCATTACACACACTTTTATATGCCTTCATGCTACAGCACTACACATTAGCCAATTTAAACTTTGCACAAATACTCTGCCTTTCTTATATGGGTTACAACAATGTTTATTTCCTGCAACCTTTAACAAGCATTCCTAGCAACTTAAACAACCAGCACATTCTGTCTGGCCTTGTAACTGTCTCCTATTACCTTTAACTTGGCGTCAGCAAACCTTACACTATAAGACATTATCTGCGGCTGCAACATTGTTTTAAGAGCAAAAGAGCTTACTCCAACCAGCCAGGCCTGAATTCTATTAAGGGGGGTGGAGAAGAAGCCCTTAGGCCTTCAGCAGGGAGATTTCCTTGACCCTTATGGTCTTCTATCTCCTCAACTTAACTAGTGGCCATGCCCTGGGGTCTCCAATACCCTCCTTGACAGCTAATGGACTGGAAAGTTTTTCATCGGCTCATGTGATATACTGCTTCTTTCCAACTGCAGAACAAAAGTATTTCTTGAACACATCCACTTTTTCTGTACAATTAACAAGTTTCCTTTCTACCTCTCGGAACGGGCGTAAACATTTTCTAGGAATTCTTTTCTTCTTAATACACTTAATAACCACCTTTTTTATTATCCTGAGCCTGCCAAGCATGGATTTTTCCAGTTTCCTTACTTAGTGTCCCCCTTCCCAGCTCTGACACAACAGAGCCTTACACCTGTGTCCCTGTTCCCATTCCTGCCCTTAACGAAACATGATTCCAATTGCCTTACCCCCATTCCCTGTTCCCATTTCCCCCACCCAAACCCCCACTCACCTCCTGATTGACTGCAGACTATGTAGTAAAACTTGCGTTCTGCTTAGCTATACCTTAACCAATCATTTTCCTGAAATTTAACTAACCAATCCTGACATATTGTAACATGATTATGTTACCAATTATATCCCACCACCTTATTTAGTTTACACCCAGCAAAATTAATTATACAGCAGACAGAAACAATCACAGAACCAGACAGAGATTATACAGACAAACAATAGCAAAGTGGGAACTATAATGACAAAACAATACAGAAGTAAGGATTTCACACCCCAGCTATTCATACGTGAGTTCTTGCCAGGCAGGATGCTATCAGACTAAGTTTCCTTTCACATTTTCTAGGCACTTCCCTTTCTCTGGAGGCGACAGGCACTATCAGGACAGGATTGTGTCCTAACAGCCCAATAGCACCTTCTTTCAATGTGACTAGTTTGTAATGTGAGGAGGTGACCAGTCGCTTCCCAGCTTATGGCTGCCTCTGCTGCTTAGCCAAAGGCCTTAGCCTAAGCACAGGGCCCCAATCTGTCACAGTAAGAGAAGGCCCTTACACCGGCAGACAGTGATTTTGATTCTTTCTTTTATACCTCTAGAACTAGCCAAGTGATAAGAATACAACTAAATTCTTCGAGTACAGGCCATTACCAACAGGCCTGAATATCTATATCCTAACAGCCACTACTGCGAATGAGCAAGCAGATGATTGGGGAAGTCCAGACAGCATGGACTCACTAGCTTGGCTTCCACTGAATTAAGGAACAATGACAGATAACCAGTATCTGCACACATGTTTCCTTCTCGTGCCTATTTAGGTTTCCCACATCATGGCGTGTAGGAATTATTGACCTATGGAGCACCATCAAGTATGGAATGGTGTTATTCAGAATTCATTTATTTGAATAAAGAAAATGTCATTTTCCAGTGTGTGAAAAGTGATCAATTTGATTCACCCATGAGAACAGTCTCCGGTTGTGCATGTATTGTCTCATAATGGCATTGTCTCTCCTTCCAGGCATTTCTCATGTGACCACCACCCTAGACTCTGCGCACATACAGCAAGTCGAGGCAATTTACAGTAGATGCAGGCGACACTGTTCTGCCTCAAAGTTGGAGACCTTCTCTCCTACTCCATGTCAGATTCCAACACAACCGACTTCTCCAGCCCCTCCACCTTCATCCTGCTGGGCATTCCTGGCCTGGAGGCAGCCCAGGTCTGGATCTCCATCCCCTTCTTTATCATGTACACCGTCACCCTCTTGGGGAACTTCACCATCCTGTTTATCGTGAAGACAGAGCCGAGGCTCCATGTGCCCATGTACTATTTCCTCTGCATGCTGGCTGTCACCGACCTGGTCCTGTCTACATCTACCATGCCCAAAATTCTGAGCATCTTCTGGTTCAATTCCAGGGAGATAGATTTTAGTTTGTGCTTCACCCAGCTCTACTTCATTCACTGCTGTATAGCGATGGAGTCTGGAATCATCGTGGCCATGGCTTTGGATCGTTACGTGGCCATCTGTGATCCGCTGAGACATTCCACCACTCTGACCAACTGCTTTGTAGCCAAGATCGGCCTGGCCGTGGTGCTGCGTGGCAGTATTCTTGCACTGCCCTATCCTTTCCTGGCAAGGCGGTGGCCATATTGTAGAACCAACATCATCTCCCACACATACTGTGAGCACATAGCCGTGGTGAAGCTGGCCTGCGCCGACATACGCATCAGTAGTTACTACGGCCTCTCTGTGGCATTCTTGGTGATTGGTCTGGATGTGTCTTTTATCACTGTGTCCTATATCCAGATCCTCAGGGCCATCTTTAGCCTCCCCACAAAAGACGCCCGGATCAAGACTTTTGGGACCTGTGGCTCCCACCTCTGTGTCATTTTAGCATTTTATATCCCAGCTCTCTTCTCCTTCCTCACACACAGGTTTGGTCACAATGTGCCCCCGCATTTCCACATTCTCATGGCCAACATGTACATTCTACTGCCCTCCATGCTAAACCCCATCATCTACGGGGTGAGGACCAAACAGATCCGGGACAGGCTGATCTGGCACGTTACTCATATTGAATAAAGTTTACTTCTGGTGCTCTGGCTCTCAGACCAAACTCTGTGGAGATCCAATGGTTGACATGGTGCTGTGTTCTCTTTCCTGAATCAGTGACTATTGACATTAAATCCTTTCTTTACCTTACAGTGCTGTATCAACCTGACAGTCCAGGGAATCCATCGATGTACAACTCACAGGGTTCCCACATTTCTTATTGCCTGTAACTGTACACTTGAGGCCCCACACTTTGCCCCACCTCCTCCCCCGTTTGTCCTGCCCCTGTCACTCACTCCTCTCCTCCACTATCCCTATTACTCGCTGGATTGTCTCCATCCCCCTCTCTATCCCTGCTGCATCCTCTATGTGCGGGGCTGGAACGGGAGTTTCAGAAGCCTGATGAGGATCCTTCCTGCTTGTCGGACGCAGCCCCAGTTGAGCAGGGGCTGATATGAGTTAATGACATGGTTGTGCCCCCCCCACACACACACTCTGCTGTAACTGGACACTGCCAGATCCCCTTTTTGACTCGATGTTCCAACTGAAAATCAGGGGGAAGGGGTGGTTAGTGGTGTGGAACCCTAGCATCCTTCGGTGGAAGTGATGGGAGAGCAGGGTGGAGGGTTTAGAATGGATATTAGCGTGGGGCTGACGGACTGGGTGGTCTGTGAATGGATATTAGCGTGGTGCTGATGGGGAAGATGGGTCTGAGAATTGATATTATCCATGCAGGTGATGGGGGGTGGGACCTGTCTGGGAATGGATATTTGTGTGGGGTTGACGTGCGTCTGGTGTGTGTCTGGGAATGGATATTAGTGTGGGACTGATGGGGAGCAGGTGGTCTGGGAATGGATATTAGCATGGGACTGATGGGGGAGGACCTTGGACTGTGTAATGACATGGAGGACACACCTCTCTCTCCCCTAGCTCCTGGGGAGTTGGGTGAGGGGAAGTCCTTTTATCCCAACTCAAGAACAGCTTGTTAATCACTTCACATCATTTCTTATGATTTTCTTTTTCAGGGGGCTTTGTAGCCTGTTCAGTTAAAACGGACACAGCCCCTTTATATCGTTTTGCCTCCAATTGATACTTTTCTTTTTCCTGCATTTTGTGCATTCATATCACATTCCAATTCCTGACAAGTCTGAGTTAACGCAACCATAGCTGGGCATTGGCTATATTTTGCATCAGAGAAGTTTGTAAATCTCTTTGCATCCCCTCATTTTGCAATCTCAGCTTCTGCAGCTCCTGTTGCAAATTTTCCTTCTCATCTTTCCAGATCTCATGCTCCTCTGCAAACTTATTCACAGCCTGATACATAATCCAAACAGCAGCATTTCTCATTTGTTCCTTTTTTAGGACTGGGAGTGCCACAAGTCTGATATTTTAATAATATGTCATTCAAACACCCTTCCCTGAACAGGACAGGAACAGCGTTTGGCAGCCGGAGAACAGAGCCCAGATCCTCACATGCCTATCTCAGTAAACACCCCTCCACCATAACCGGAGCGTTCTGGGCATCCCCTTCAGCCTCGGTACGATGACCCCTCACTGTCTGCATTTGCAAACCCCGAGCCACAAATAATAGGTCAGAACTGATTCAGCCCAATATTTACATTAGTTGGTCAACACCAGTGATCCAGGATAGCAACCTCTTACCGAGAAGCCAGTCCAGAAACAGCATTCATTCAGTTGAAAAACCTATTCACATAGACATGACAGTAAACCGTCCTCTGCTATCAAATATTAACACTCGGGGGCGCTACTACCCCTGAAATGGGTCTTTCGTGGCTCCCAGTGGAGAGGATGACTGTCCGACCAGTGAGAACGTCCACAAGAATTATCCGCAATACACAGGATTTCATTGAGAAGGAATTACACAAGCGGTGATGGGTTATATCAAGCACATAACTCCTGTGTTAGACAAAGCTATACATGAAGAGCTTTACAGTCCCCTAAATGAGCCTCTGTTTCACAGAGATACGCAAGCAGTTCCTGTGCGGGCCCCACTCAGTGCTGCTTGGCACGCAGAGAAGGGGGTTGCCAATTTTATATATGGCTTCTTTTCTCTTTGTCTGTTCTTCTCAGCCCTCTGGTCTGTCTCGGATGCCCTCGAGGCAAGGATTTGACTGCGTTGAGAACTGCTGGGCTCTGTGCTGAGGCAGAGAGGAATTGGAAAGAAAGAAAAAGTAAAAGAAACACCTCTGTAAAATCAGGATGGAAGATAATTGTACAGGACAATCAGATTCAAACCACAGAGGATTTCCCTCTAGGCCAAACTCTAAAGTTACAAAAAGAAATCCAGGAACACACCTTCCTCTCAGCACAGAGAAAATCACAAGCCAAAACAAAAATAAGCTAACGTATTCCCTTGCTTGTACTTAGCGATTTGAATGGAGTCGGATTGCTTGCTTCTTTGATCTGTGTCCAGCAAGCACTCGGAACAGACAGATCAAAACCTTCCCCCCTCGCCGCTCCCGGCTCCGCCCCCAGATTTGAAAGTATCTTGTCCCCTTTGGGTCAGGTGCCAGACAGGTTACCTGAGCTTCTTAACCCTTTACAGGTAAAAGGATTTGGGGCCTCTGGTCAGGAGGGAGTTTATAGTACTGTATACAGGAAGGTTGTTACCCTTCCCTTTATATTTAGGTCACCAGTAGTAAGGGACCTTCCGAAGGGAGATGAGAACTCCTGGGCTCTCCGCTGAGGCAGAGAGGAATAGGCTGTGTGACGTTGCACTCCATATGCTTTATGGAAATATATTTATGAATATGAATGTGACCATAATGGCATATGCTTTCTGTGTGAAATGCCTCTTGTCATGTGTTATTGGAAAAGGTACAATCGATTGAATGCGTTCATCCTATTTGTATGCATGTATCATTTTTATGACTGAAGGTAGGAATATGAAGTATAAACTTGTAGTTCTGATGTAGTCATAGAATCATAGAATCATAGAGTCATAGAATATAAGGGTTGGAAGGGACCCCAGAAGGTCATCTAGTCCAACCCCCTGCTCGAAGCAGGACCAATTCCCAGTTAAATCATCCCAGCCAGGGCTTTGTCAAGCCTGACCTTAAAAACCTCTAAGGAAGGAGATTCCACCACCTCCCTAGGTAACGCATTCCAGTGTTTCACCACCCTCTTAGTGAAAAAGTTTTTCCTAATATCCAATCTAAACCTCCCCCACTGCAGCTTGAAACCATTACTCCTCGTTCTGTCATCTGCTACCATTGAGAACAGTCTAGAGCCATCCTCTTTGGAACCCCCTTTCAGGTAGTTGAAAGCAGCTATCAAATCCCCCCTCATTCTTCTCTTCTGCAGGCTAAACAATCCCAGCTCCCTCAGCCTCTCCTCATAACTCATGTGTTCCAGTCCCCTAATCATTTTTGTTGCCCTTCGCTGGACTCTCTCCAATTTATCCACATCCTTCTTGAAGTGTGGGGCCCAAAACTGGACACAGTACTCCAGATGAGGCCTCACCAATGTCGAATCTATACACCTATTACAATACATCAAATACTTAAACTCTAAGAAAAAATATAGATATAGATATGCAAGCAAGCAGGTTAGTGCTATAGGCTACAACGATACTTTTCAGTTACAGAAACTGTAAGTAAAGGCAAGGAAATGCGTTAGATTAACATTTGTTTTAGCTTGTCAATTTTCCCTATGCTAAGAGGTAATTTCATGCCTGTTCTGTAACTGGAAAGCAAAGTCAGAGGGGAATCCTCTGTGTTTTAAATCTTTTTTATTTACGCTGTAAAGTTACCTTCCATCCTGATTTTACAGGTGTGATTCTTTAACTTCTTTTTTAATAAAATTATTCTTTTAAGAATCTAATTGATTTTCAGTGTCCTAAAAACCCAGTGGTTTGTTCTGTGCTCACTTTGTAGCCATTGGGTTAGTATAGTATTCTCAAGCCTCCCCCAGAAAAGGGGGCGAAGGAGCTTGGGGGAATATTTTGGGGAAAGAGGGACTCCAAGTGGCCCTTTTTCCTGGATTTTTTGTCTCAATCACTTGGTGGTGGTGGCAGCAATACCGTCCAAGGACAAGGGAAGGACTTGTGCCTTGGGGAAGTTTTAACCTAAGCGGGTAGAAATAAGCTTAGGGGGTCTTTCATGCAGGTCCCCACATCTATACCCCAGAGTTCAGAGTGGGGAGGGAATCCTGACAGACCCCTTAATCACCTTCCCAGAGATCGATCCGGGCAGCGCTCGGTTTGCAAGGCAGCTACATTCCTTTGGGATTTGACATGAATATGATGATGATGATGATGACTGATGGGATGAATGGCCCCCCAGATACCATGGCAAAAAGTCCGTTGATCCAGTAATGTGTGTGAGGCTGACGTCTGACAAACAGAAAGCACAGTTGATACTTGCTGATGAAGAAAAGTAAGAGGGACATTTTCAGTGGGTCACCTATTTTGTGTGTGATGATGTCACCCGGCACCCTCGCCCCACACTGGATGGGGAAGGATTAACCCTATATTGTGGGCTGAGGAAGCAGTTGATATGGGCAGAATATTTATCAGTACAAGTGAGAATTCAGATTCAGTTTACCTGGTGCTCAGGAGCTTATCTGAGAAAGAATTACACAAGCCGTTTAAGGTTATATAATGCATGTCTCCTTAGTGAGCCTCAATTCCCCAAGCATAAACCCCCAGTAAGTATGTTGGCCTTACACGCTATCCTGATTGGCAAACAAAGTGGTTATAACTACCAATTCTAAATGAAGACCTCTTCTCTTCACTTCTCTTCTCAGCCGTCAGATCTATTGAAGATCCCCCGAGGCAAGGCCTTGGCTGCATAGACACCCTCTGGTTTAAAGTCCTACAAGGATCCCATAAAGCAGAAGCTTTCCTACTCTGTCACATGTCTCAGAAACATGCCCTATGTGCGTTTCATGACTAATTTTCTCCTAATTGATATTCTGGAAGGGGGTTGGAGAGGAGGGATCTGTGACGGTACATTCCATATGCTTCAAGAAAATATGCTTATGAATATGAATATGACATAACTGGAATA